GAGTGTAGGCGGGAGACGTTTCATGAATCGCGATGGTCTACTAACTTGTGCAGGAGGTACGAGAGTCCTGTTGGAATATGATGTAGGAGTTGTACTAGTTGTGGTAGGGCATCGTCTCAGTCTTTCGGCTCTCAAACGGAAAAAGATATAGGAGAAACCATTACTTAATAAGTGCTATACAGTGGATTTGAACGTGGTAACAATCTTGACATACTGAATTGGCAAGTTTACAGGTAAAAAACATCACACCATCTACATACTTTCTGATATTCTAGCCCTTCATCCTTATTTAAGATCAAGTTGGTTTTCCTGTGTTTCATTATTTCAGTGGTTTTCCTTATATTTCTAGCAGTCATACTGTCACGTGACGCTGGTGAGTTTCTCGAATGATCTGGAAGTCCGAGTGTGTTCGAGGTGCCCTCTTCGTTAGTATATAAGCCTGGCAGAGAAAGCCAGTGGAAATAAATGAATGAAGAGAGAGCATTAGTTACTTTGAGTTCCGTGTAATTTATGATTCTGTTAGTTTCGAGCTAGTGAGCCGTAAAGTGTGTGTTTTGCATTCGTCGAGAGCGAATTATCGAGATTGTGAATCGCTGTGATTTATAGCGTGTATTATAAAAGTTGTTAAGTTTAAAGTGACGAGAAACGTACTGATTGTGGAACTACTGTGTACTAAAAGTTTGTATCGAGGAAGAATAAATTGGTTTAATCAAGTAAGGATTTGTATCGCTGAAGATCCTTGGAAAGAATTTCTACTGGAAACAAACAAACAAACAGATACGTAACAATATTATTCGGTTGAGCCAAAATAACCATATTTTTCCCACTGGATGATATGTCCAGTATAATTTACATGTTCAGCTAATACAGAGTTTTCACTTTTGTTTTTAACATTTATCTTATGTTCATTTATTCTAAAGTTTAAGTTTCTTCTAGTTTGACTAATCTATGCACGACCACATTCACACTGAACTTTATATATACCTGTTTTCTCCATTAGACTTATTTCATCTTTAGTTTTATTTAATATTTGATTAATTTTATTCAGTGGTCTGTAAATGGTAATGAGATTTTTATTTTGTTTTATGAATTTATGAAAAAATTGACATGATAAACCTGTGATATATGGTAAAAACAACATTTCTTTTTATCTTTTTTATCAAATGTTGATTTTAGTTACTTTTTGTTCAAAATTGATTTTGTTAAATTTCCTTATTCAACAATATGAGGCGAGAAGCCTCTGTCTAATGCTAAATGTTTAATAAGTAACAGTTCATTTATTAAATTGCTGAATTATAGCACAGTTTTAAAGACTTCAGTTAACAAAACTGTACCAACTAAAACTATCAACCCCGATTTAAATATTTTCATTCCTTGTATACATAATGTTACGACAGCGGAGGTCACGTGACGCTAGTAACACGTCATGCGCTTCTAGAACGTTCATGTCCCTTCTTGAAGCCTCGAGAGGTTACTAGCTATGCGGTATTCTTGTATATAAGCCGCCAAGAAGTGACGGCAACAATGTAATGTAATGTAATTGAACTGCAGACAGAGATAGAGACGTACTGTTGAGTCAAGCACGTCAGTCGTTCATTGTGAATTATAGCGTTTGTTATAGCGTGACTGTGGAAATTAAGTGTATTGCAAAGTTGTATTCAGAAACAATAAACCAGTTTTATTTAAGAAAGGACTTATATGTCCAAGTCACTATTAATAACATTTCAGCAAAGTACTCCGATGAAAATGTGTAAATCATTTTAAGGAATCAATGATTGATCCTATTTCCATACAATTTCCAAATGCATTAACACAAAAACACATTGTTGTCTAAGAGAAAAACTAAATCATTTCAGTTATTTAGCAGCAAGATAAGATAGAACTGACTGAATACAAATCAAGTTTATACTTTTCTTTTATTTTAATACATAAATGGGTGTATCATAATTATGCCAGACAATCGTTTACTGTATGACTTTCATTGTGTACTTTCTTGCCTTCTGTCTGGCAAAGGATCAGTGATTCCACTGAAATACAAAGATCTGTCAGTCGCTCTTGGTAAGTGGTGGAACACAGATAATTTTTTATCAGTTTCAGCTTGCTAAAAGATCCCTCCCTTTCTGCAACAGTAGCTGGACCTGTGCAGAAAAATGTAAAGGACTGCAGAAGAGTTTAGCAAAACTGAGGGTAGCATGAATTTGTGTAGTTTATTTAAAAGATCTAAAGGATTTGATGCAGTTGTTACGACAGCGGAAATCACGTGACGCTAGTAATACGTCATGAACTTCTAGAACGTTCACGTCCCTTCCTAGAATCTCGAGAGGCTACTAGATATGCGGTAGTATTGTATATATATAAGCTGCCAAGAATTGACGGCAACATTGAGTGTAATTGAACTGCGGACAGGGAGACGTATTGTTGAGCACTTGAGACGTTTGTTGTGAATTATAGCGTTTGTTATAGCGCGACTGTGGAAATTAAGTGTATTGAAAAGTTGTATTTAGAAAGAATAAACCAGTTTTATTTCAGAAAGGACTTGTATCGGTAAAGTTTCTTCGGAAAGAAATTATACGGAAAATTAACTAACGACCAGAGATGTAACAAATTGGTGTCAGAAGTGGGATAGAAAATAAAAATAAAAAAGAAGAAGATGGAACGAGAGACAGAAAATCAAACTACAGCTTAGCAGATTTGGTGGCAGCAATACAAGAACAGCAAAAGAAACAAGAAGAACGAGAAAAGAAACAAGAAGAGAGACTACAGCAGTGGCAACTGGAACAAGAAGTACAAACGGAAAACATTAGCAAATTTAAAAGCGAATTGAATACATTAAAGGATGAATTATTGTCTTTTACAC